CGACTATTCATATAAAATTATCATTATTTCATAATTAATCCCATTTAGTTTATATTAAAAGGTAAAAATTAACTTTTAAAAATAGTGTCATTTTATATGAGTAGTCGTAAGATGCAAACTCAGCCACGATATCGTTGTTGTATTTTTGTTTTATTTTAATTCAAATACTTGATTAAAATTTGATTAAAATTTGTTAATTTTCAGCATCTACTAGAATATCACGACATCAACCATCCTGGGTCTATACAAATAACGAAGATTTTAAATTTTAAATTAGTCTCATGAAATAATGGACATTCATAGATTTTCTATAAAACAAGCCCTTACAAATTATTATTAAACTATAATGAGATTAAATTATTATTGTGTCATGTATTTTTATGTAATAAATAAAGATTTAAAAACTGGTATTGTAAAATGATTAATATAAACAATGGGCTAATATTCATTATGAAGAAAACATTAACAAATAATTTACTTTATATCTTAAACCTAATCCATTTACTGTATAATGATTGACAGTCTATTACAGTATAAAATAATATAAAGTATAACACTTTTGTGTGTAACATTTTTCTCACATGTTTTACCCATAAGGATATGAAGTAGTGAATGGGAAACAGCGTCTTTCCGTTTTATGTAATAACTTGGAAAAGTTTTATGGAAAATTTTATTTTCAACTAATTTTTAATAACTAGATAATATATATATTAATCTATAAAACATATATATATATATATATATATATATACTCGAATAGTTAGTGCACTAAATGTTACAATAACTGTAATGTTTTTATGTAATTATAATGAATAATGTGCAATTAAACATTTTTGAAAAATCAATTCTCAATATACAAATATTATCCTTGATTATTTTTATAATAATTACAAATTTAATAGGTATTAATTTAACAAACTATGAGTTCATTATAGACAAAAATACCGGTGCAAAGTTGGCACTTAAGACAAACATCTACTATATTATCCAAAACACAAAGTCTGACCGATTTTTGCTATGGTTTGGACCCAACTCTACACTACCCGGGGATTTGGTGTCCGAAAAGGCCAAAACATATCACGTGTTTAATAACCTAAATAATGGCTGGTATCGTATGAATCACTATTTCGGTAGTCATAACGTAAAGATAGCCCAGGCACATAATGAGGGCTACTACTTTATTTATAACCAACCTTGCTGTAAGTAAATAAACATCTTTATTAACTAAAATTGTTATAAATATGTTAATTAGATATACAGAACAGTATGTAAAATTTATAATAATAATTTTATATTACGTGTAATATGTAAATATTTATATTTAAATAGAAAGTTTTATTTTATATAATATGTTAATTACTAGACGATGGCGATTATCCTAACGGCGAGATCAATGAATACGGATCTATTAGTTGTGTTACTTCCGAAATGAACAGGGATTATCAGGAATATAAGTGGGAGTTCACTGAAAAACCTGGACAAATAAGCACGACTACAACGACCACAACCATCACTACTATTACTACTACTGTATCACAACCTACAACTGTCACAGATAATGATGATCAAGGAACAATAAGTCAAAATCTTACATTAATAATACCATTTACGGCAGTAGTGGTCCTATTATTGATAGCATTAGTGGTATATCTAGTATGGTATTGCATTCAAGGCAAACAATCGGAAAATACTTCAAATGACTATGAAATTTATGAAATACCAAGTGATAATAAAGACCAGGATTATGAAGAAATATATACGGATAACTGTGAGATTAATTATGATAAAATAATTTTAAAATAAATTACATATTTTAATAATGTTTTAGTGCCTCAACCACCAGTAGCAAGGTACTCATCAACAGTACAACCAAGATATTTAGATGATATTTATGACTAAAACGTCAATACAGGTATAATATTATGAAATTGTATTAGCACAAATAAACTACAATTAATTTATATCTTAAATTCTTATGTGTCTAATATCCAAAATGTGTGGATAGTTACTTTAACTTGTTTTTACAAATACAATATGTTTTGATAATATCAAATATTATTTTATAAAGTATGGAAAAGTATCCAAAAATTATTTAACATATTTTTAATTATTTAAAGATTTTTAAAAAGATAATAATTATAAACTTGTTAAAATCCACATTTTTTATGAACATAAATTAGAAATGTATAAATAAGTTATATAAGGACATGAGTCAATGATAGTAAATATTTTTTAACAGATAATAAATATTTAGATTATTTAGTACAATTTTTTATGTACACTATAATACATATGTAATAAATTTTAGTCTGAAAATTCACTTTAATTTTTAAGTTCACAATGAGTGCAATAAGTATTTATATATTTATAATTAAACTAATCCTGGTACACGCAATTCGTGAACCGGTTGTTGACAAAAATACAGGTGACAAATTATCAATTACAACTGGCACGTATTATGCCATTAGAAATGTAAACACTCATAAATTTATGACCTGGTACGGTGTGAACAACACACTACCGGTGCCGTTCAACTCAAATGATATCCGTATATTTCATATGATCACTAAAC